AACATTAACATTTAAAATTTGAGAGAGACATTTTGACAAGTAACATGCTGTGAATCAGATTTTTGTTGCTGAAGGATTGTCAGCAAGGTTTCATCTTTCTTGTGTATATTTTGAAAAGCCAAGAGAATCAGATGTTCTTGTTCTGTAAGCCTACAGAGGCATGATTTTAACCTGTGCAATGAGGAAAATGAACTTTTAACTGCCCTCAGAGCATGGCCGCGTTATTCCCTGTGATTAACTCCAGTTGGCTTAAGAGCAGAATTTCTAAGCAGAACTTCAGGGTATAGAAAAATAACAGTAGGAGATGAATATGTAAGTAACCAATATCCGGTTTCCATGGCATTATGGTGAAGGAAGACAAATAAATACATTTTACATATATTATCATTGTTGCAAATAGAGGATTCTCTATGTTGTCAGGGAGCAGAGAAAAAGATTATTGAAAATACTTCTTAGGCATTCAGGTGTGACATCGTGCATTGTATGTGTTTGCTTCCATTCTTTTCAGGGAAAAAAGAGTGTTCTTTTTTTGATTGCCAACTTTTGTACAACAGGAACATATGAAATACAAATACTGCTTAAAGGGAATTTTTTTATTATACATTTATTAAAAAGTGATGTTTCTTCCCTAGATAGTATATGGAAAGAAGTCATCAAGGACAACAGTTTGGAGAATTAGTAATAAAGTTTTTGTAGAATATGCCACATATTACTCTTATAATCCAGTGAAAAGCAGCAATTCTTGTAAGTGTTGATCAAATAAAATCCACCTAACTTTGTAATAAAGTACTATCCTGTGGCGTATATGGGAAAGGTTTAGGTCCTTTGCGCAAAGCTCTGTGTTATAAAATTGAAAAGCTGCAAATTTGTAATTTACTGTAGTAAGACAGACCTTTGAACCAAATATTTGGAATAGACTTTACCTAATGTTTTTTTGCCTGTGTTTACTGTTAATAATATATTTTTTTTATAGCTAAATTGACAAAAACAGGTTAGTGATTTCGCATTAATATCCTGGAGACAACCTCAAGAGACAGCTCCTTGCACTGTGGCTAGATCATCAATACCTTGACAGTTCATCCAAGTTCTTAAAAATCTGCATTTAAGATTTTACGACAGTTCTTACTAGGCTATTCTGGTGCTTCACTGACCTTGAAAGGCTTCTGCTATTATGGAAGCTTAGTTCTTTTTTACCCTGCTTATTAAAATACACACAGTGTTTATAGAGGAAGAGTGGGAAGAGTTATAAAAATAAACTTACGTAGACAGATTATTTCAAACAGATAGTAACTTTTGGTCTAAATATTACATTTCCCGCAATGAAGCTACAGTATCAAAGTGACCTACAGATAGATTTACAGATAGACTAAATGCAAATCTGTATGGAGATGAAAAGCATCTGGTAGCACTATAATGTTGTCCTGAGATGAAAGCTTCGTTGCAGCTAACTTTATATTCATGTTGTACCAATTAGCAATTTCAGTGTTAATGTTTTATAATTTGGCATGTGATCATGAAGCTTATATTTTGAGCAGGTAAAAATCTAACTTCTTGTCTTGCTGAGTTTTTCTTGATGAGTTTGTTAGGACTCTTCTTGAATGTTGACTATGTAAACAGAAAAAAACTCTAAACAGAGACTTAAAAACCTGTTCTTTTCAATTCTAGTGCAGCTTACGGACTTAAGACAAAGTCAGGTTACTTGCCAACAGACATGATTATCACAGAATACCTTACTTAAAACAATGAATGGATTTCCACAATGTGAACAATAAACTGTGTGCTGGAGAAAATACTTTTGAGAAGACATCTAATAATAGTCAGTATCCCCGATTTTAACTTTGTCCTGCAATGAAGAGTCTTCAGTTGTTGATCTGAGCCCTGTTGATCTCGGCTGTCTCTTTAGCTCCCCTGATTGCTGTTTCTTCTTGTCTTCCTCAGTGGCTCTTTCTGTTTTCTTCCAAAAGAAAACTGACACAATACAACCTCACCTTCCCCTTTTTCTCATATCTTTTTACCTACTTGCCCCCAAATTCTCTGTTTTCTCCCTTATCATAGACACAGAAATTGTACTTTGGTTTATGTGGTTTAACCCTGTTTTTACCCAGTAACATCAGTCTGTCTTCTAATCTGCTTCACACCTCACTGCTTCATTTTTCTTAACGTCTCACTTTCTTTTATATTAAGATTTTCCAGTTCATAACTGAAAAGCAGAGTACTTTTTAAAATATGTTTGGGTCAGCATGAAACAAAATGGGTTGGAGTCTTTTTTTTTAATGTGAAATGGAAAACAAAATACTGGTTAGATTGTTTCTTCAGTGAATTTGGTTGCTTTATTTTAATGTCTTTGAACTTCTGTCACCACAACATTTTGTAGGAAGGAGATTCATAAGTTTATTATACACTAAGGATTAAACAACATGCTTTTGTTTGTTTCAAACCTGCCACCTGTCTCAAAAGGCAAAATATTTTGTTTTAGAAAATATTGTAGCAAAACATTTAAGTTAAATCCTCTCTCCAGATTTTCATCAAGGCTACATCTACTAATTCTTTCTGTGCAACAGTTCTAAGGTACAGCCACTTAGTTGCATTTCCATCCATTTATAGATCTGAAGCATCACCTAGGTCCTCTCATCCCACCTGTCAGCTGGCAAGATCCTTTCTCTGGCTTTGACAAATGGCAGTCTTGTCCTTCTCAGGTCCACTCAGGATTTTGCTTTAAAGGAATGATATTTCTAACCCATCCTTATGTAACTTTGTAATATCACACTTGCTTCATTTCTCAGTTATTTTCCCCCTTCTCTATTGTATCACACAGAAGCTACTTGTCTTCCCTTTCAAGGTACTTCAGGACTCATTCCCTCTCAGTCATCACTCATTTACTATTTACTATTTCTAGCATTCTAAACCTTATTCTGATACCCACTGTAATCAGTTTAACTCTGTCATAAACTGATTTAGACTGAGTCCCTATGAGAACATCAATAACCTGTATAAATAAGTCACAATTAGGAAAAAGTGCTGTCGTCACCTTCTCTCAGTACAGGTGTCAAAGCCCTTTGTTGATGGTTTGTGAGGGAGTGGTACCCAAGCTCCTCGCTTTGTGTTATGTCTGTTTTGTGGACTTGCAGCATGAGCACAATCAAATTTGAGACCTAAGCTTTGAACAGTATCAGGTTGACTGTGGTTAAATTCCTGGCCCAACAAAATAATAAGATGAATAAGCACCATAGGGGTAATCTGTTATAATTTTAAAAGACCGGAAGACATAAGTAATAGCTGCAGTTGTGACAGGCTGAGGCTTTCAAGTGTGCAATATGTACTGTGACTGCTGAATCAAGCCATCTTTCTTTTAAACTTTCCATTTTGTATTCTACTGTTCAAGTTAGGAATCAAAAGTTTCCTGTTTTGTGAGTGCCAAGAACCAGAGAATGAATGCGTACTTGTAATTCATTTTCAGCAATTTACAATTTGCAACCCATTTGAAATTTATTCTTGGAATTGAATAAAGAACTTTCGGAGAAATAACCAAAGATTTAAAATTCAGAATTAGCAGCTTGGGGGATGGAAGTCAGAGAATTTTGTTGAGGTCCTTCTTTAGTAGTAAGAATACATTTGCTAACAACAGTGAATGTTTATTAATGAGGAACTGGATTGCTACTTAAAACTTTGGCCAGACTTCTTGGAAATGTTCTATTAAGAACTAGTTACAATGTCAGTATGAAAGATATTATGTAGGTTCATAATTTCTTCTTGTAGGTATCGTCTTCTATAATTTGAGATTCTGTAATGCATTTGGGCTTTATATGTCAGATTAAGTGACTTGCTTTTAAAGTTAACATTTATCTTGATGAGGATTTGTGCTATTTAGGTTTTAGGTCTGATCTTGCACCCATGTCAGCTGTTGCTGGAAATGGTAGAGACATTTGGAATCTGGAAGAATCAGCTTCATAAAATCATCATGACTCCTTGAAGGAGTGCTGCCAGATTCCCAAATGAGTCAAGCCATATTTGAAAAATCTGTGGATCCAATTTATGTTTTTTCTGAGAGAATCATAAAGGCACATACTGATAATTCAAAAGTCTCTTCCTGGCTACAAAGCAAATAGCCCTGCCATTACCTAGATTCTGTCCAGTTTCTTGTTTTCAGTGGTGCAACTCTATGTGCCAGCGTATTAAATCAAGAAATGAAAGTAGGAACAACTATGGTATGATTAGCATTAGTCTAATTTTTTTCTTTTTTTAAGGCCAGTAATGAGGCGTTAAAATGATAAAAATGAATATTAGAAGCTCCCGTCAAAGATGTGACACGGTGGGAATGCATGAGAGATCTGAATTTTTTTGGAAGCTTGCAGGGGGGAAATTAAAGCATCACCTGCTGAGCCTTAGGGTGGCATTCTTCCTTTCCCACCCAAGACAAAGGGTCTATTGCAATTCTGTATCCCTAGATCAATTAAATTTCTTGTAAGCTAATTTATTCTAGACAGAGTGCATTTTTCTATTTGCATGTGTTCTGTTATTTTACTACTCATAAATTCTCAGTCTAGAGAATAACCTTTACCAAGGATGAATAAGAATTTCCTGCATTTTATTATCTTCAAAGTTCCACTAGTGTTTTCCATTTTCGGAAAGTAAAAGATCCAAGGTTTAATGTTCTCCAGGATGCGGACAAATTGTGTTACAGGTCTTATCTTAGCAACTGAAGTAAATAGGGACCATAATGGCTGCTCTTCATCTTCTGCTCTTATTCCTCCTGAATTATGAAGCAACGGAAACACAAAATTTAAGAATTATTTTAATTCCAGACCGCTTTAGTCTTTGTTACCTCTAACATGTGCAAACTGAGTATATATTAAGGATGTACATTTCTTATTGGGTGATTGAATGGAACTTCTGTTACTGTCAGTACATTGCTTTCCTAATTTTCTATGCATTATTCTAAAAATTGACTTCCCAGTAACATCATCGCATAAAATACCTACAACTTTTAATCTGTTTTATAGGGTTGTGACTCTCAAATGAGCATGTCAGAAGTGTCCTGCAGTGAAAGTACCTCCTCTTGTCAGTCTCTGGTACATGGCTCAGCTCCAGAAATCCTCATCGGCCTCCTTTATAACGCTACAACTGGAAGATTATCAGCAGAAGTGATAAAAGGCAGCCACTTCAAAAACTTGGCAGCAAACAGACCACCCAGTGAGTGAAAATCTTTTTTCATCCTAATGCTTCTGTACTGGTGGGGCTCTCGGTAACAAGGACTTCAATCCTATCATTTAGTCTTACCGAAACAAAATGAAATAGAGCAATCGTCAACTAATCTGTTTCATGTTTTATATTTCTAGTCAGTTGGGAAATAGCAAAAATCTGAAATTCAAAATATTAATTGTAAGTTGACAAGACTGGTTTAATTTTTCATAAGTAATTAATAAATTACCTTTATCATAATGATTAATTGCTAAATTACTAATGCCTCACATCACAGGCTAAGAATGAAAAGCTGGTGTTTAAAGAGAAAGTACGTGCCAGCTAATATTAATATAAACAGTCTGAACAGTTATTGCTGTTCCTAGAGAGGTTGATACTGCAGTCTTTAATTGCTTTTGTGCCCGTGTAGATGTGGTGGTAATATATGTAACTTGGGAATGTCAGTGAAGACAACGGAGAAACAAATTGAGACCTTTGGCATATATACTGTGCAGAAGGAATGTTTGTCATCGGAAGGGACTTGAACTGTTTGTTCAAGCATTTGTTCAAAAATACATTTGTCTGAAATATCTGTGAACTTTATACACTTTTAAAGTGGAGCCAGATGGAATGTCACGCACACAGAATGTTTTTACTGTCTCTAGTTCTTTGATATAGCTTGAGAAAGTTCAGTAATGAACATTCTTAAAAAATATTTTTTCTTGTTTTTTAGATGATGAGTCTGATTTACATAAGTTGTAGCCAGACATATCTACCTGTTCCTCTTGATTTTGTCTGGAGGCTTAGGTTTTAGCCCCTCTTTCTGTTCCATAATCCCCAAATTTCTATGGCACTAGCATATTATCTGACACTAGTAGATTATGTAGCAGGCTGCCAACATTTTCTAAGTGGTTTGCACATCTCACTTCGTCTTCAGAGTTTAGGAAGTAAGCCAAACAACTTGAGACTGATGCTCTCCTCTTTCTTTCTTGACCCATGTTTTATTCCATTTGTTAATTACATTTGGCTCAGCCTTACTCTGCTTTGGTTTTTCTATCCTTTTCACACTGATGGAGCCAGACTTTGTTAACGTGACCAGAGAAGGAAAGTGAAAGAAGAATCTCGAATACTTTTATATAATTAGGTAGCTGCCCCAGAGCCTCCTATTTGGAGACAAAGCCTAGAAGTAGATGGGGAAAGCCAAGAAAGCCCAAGGATACTGGGATGGGGGAAGGAATGAATGGGAGAGACGACCTGCAGAGAAGGGACCATGTGCTCCCTTAAAGCGAAAAACAGTAGGTGGCTTATGCTTATCTTTCTGGCATCTCTAGAGAAAGCCAAGTTTTTCTTAATATTTAGAATATGCCAGTTAGATGGGGGTTCAGTACTTGTTTTGAAGACAGATATGTTCATTCACTGATACGTTAATTCCCAAAATGCGTTCCGTGGGTCCATGCTGTCTAGCTAACAGTTGTGTGTGTCACTGGGGTGAAAATCTGTTTCAGATTGCAAGAAAGCAACACAGAACATGGCACATAGCCCTGTAATACCACGTTCTGTCTAACCTCTTTGGAGGGAAGATCTTGTGTGTTACCTTTTGTCATCCCCTGTGAAGGACAGGGGGAAGTTTTGTTTTCATAATAATAGTAGTCCAGTTCTGTTTAGGCAAATGTGGGTGTGGAGTTCTGTTGTTTCTAAAAAGCTGGAAACGAATGCCCTTTCTGGGTCTGGTAAGACCATGCACAGAATATCATGGAATCCAAATTTCTCCTGTGGGCTGTTTTGTGCCGTCCCTCTCCGCTCCTCCCCAACAGTGGTAGCACTTTCTTGTAAACTCCTGGCCCCAGGTGCATACCGCTGCCATTTCCTAACTCCCTGTCAGCTGCATCGTGGGCACATACCAGCCATTCCCACAAAATGAACACTAAGGCCCACAGGGTTAATGCTGAAATACTCTCATCAAATTTGTGGTTTGGACCATCCGTGGTCCAAAATCCTGACAAGGGCTGCAAAGTACACGCATAGGTCAGTTTTCATTCAGGTCTTGAGAAACTATAATAGAAAGGGAAGCAATTATTCTTTCCCACATGCGATCCTTTCTGTAGTCTAGGCGTTGTGAACCGATGCAATTCTTGTGAACTGCTTCTGCAGCAAATACGGATTGAGTCCTCATTTCTGCTTCTTGGTAGTATATACTCTGCTGATATTTACATGTTATATTGTAACTCATTTAGCAACTAAGTACAGGATAATAAGCCAAATCCTGCCGGCAGTAACATTTGAGGTTAGAATGTGTCTTTGTTTCTCTGTGTGACAGTTAATATTTTGTCTGAGAAAAAGATGCTTCTTAGTATCCTTTAAAATTTGTTGAAACGGGGTATGAGCTTCTGCATATTAAATGCATATGTGTGTGTGCACGCAAACACACGTTAAATCCATAAATATATGGATTTTTAACAAGTGCGATCTTTACATTTTAAAGAGACCTATAGTTGAATTTCAGGTGTAAGCATCCCTCAGCTATTTTTAGAGATTAGATCAGAGTCATTCTCGTGCCCAAGTCCATCACTACTCAAGAACTAAAGTATTACAATTCAATATCTGTAACTATAAAATCTAAGGGCAAAACCAGCTTAGTTCAGTGATTTTTCATTTTAATGCTTTTAATATATGAAGTATAATTACTGTGTGCAGTTTTTCTTAATATGCTGGAGTTTGCATGAAAAAGCATAAGGTTTGATAAAAAGGATACAGTGATTTTTACCTGGTCTTCTATAACCTGATCATTTGCATGATTCTTTCTATGTTCAGTGTGCTTTAGAACCCAGTAGCTATTAGTGCTAAGATAACCCATTATGTAAGCAGTGTAATTTTTGTTAAAGATTACACAAAAACTGCACAAAATTTTCATTTCATTAAATTTTACCCAACAATCCTTTTGTTCAATCCTTTTTCCGAGCTATGATGCTAAGGTTTTGTGTTCTTCCACTCCAGCGAATAGTGTTTCCTCTTAAACTTTAACCTTTGATCCTCTCTCACCCAACTATTGACATCTGGTCATTATTTCTTTTACTGCTTTCCACCCCCTGTTGTCAGACGGACTGTTCTGTTGTCTAAAACACTTGATAGGTGGACAGGTTTATATAATCCGAGGTGAGTTCCTATAGAAACTAATTGGATGTTGTCTTTTTCATGCAAAAGAAAACCTGCCAGCAGTAAAGCTATCCACGGCTGCCTACCATATTGGTTTATGAAAGTATACCTTTATTATTTGTGGCGCACTCTAATGCAAAAATTGCATTTATCTCTGATTATGGATGTTGGGATTTCAATGTACCTGCAAAGTGAAAATATTCAATGTGTTTCTTTTTACGTAACCTCCAATCTTTTAACAATATTATTGATTAACACGAATGTGACAGGAATAAAGAATGAAAAAACAGATTGTTTTATACAGTTTTATATTTCTTAAAATCAGTTATAACTTCATGAAATGCGCATTGTTCTGCAGGAGCATGGCTTGGTGCTTCTAGTCAAATGAAAACAGAGCTTTAAAAATAAAGATTTATACCCAAATATTAACACCCAATGTGTGCTAACCACATTTACTTGCATCAGCTTCTTAAATGTATTTCATAAGAGCACTGTACAAGCTATGTTTTAAACAATCATATTGAATAATGCAGAAACTTATTTCTCTTTAAAACTGTATTAAATGTATTCCTTCATTAATCTAGGAATTAAGAGCTTTTTTGTATTGTGTAAGCTTCTACCTTTGAATGCACTTTGCTACATTTTGGTCTTTAAAATGAGTAAAACTGAAAAGCCCAAAGTGAGAACCACATCCATGCAGAGATTATTCTTAAGCATTTTATTCTGGCTGTTTTGATATCGTCACTGCATATCAATGTTGGTTTTTTTGTTTTTTTTTTTCACTTCATTAGTTGCCTCCATTCTACTTTGTTTATTCTTATTCTCTGAAAATTCAGTGGTATGCTTTACAGTGTTGTGGCTAGTTGGAGCTTGCTAAATGTTAATGCAATTTAAGTCTGTTTAGAACAAATAAGGGGGGTCAACGGGAAGAGGATTATGAGGTATACCCTTAACTTAACCCATTTACATAGTACTGAAGCTAGTTAATTTGTTATTGTGTTTGTAATATTTTGCTTACTTGTCATCTTTTCATGTGTCTTAACTAAGCTGTGTTCAGTCAACCTGGTATACACCATATCCTTGTGTCTTGTAAATCTCTCATTCTCAAGAACTTCTGCTCTAAGATATCTGACATTCCAATATATGATTTATTTTTGTAGATACATATGTTAAGTTAACACTGCTGAACTCAATGGGGCAAGAGATGTCCAAATGCAAAACTTCAATCCGCCGAGGACAGCCGAATCCAGTATACAAAGAAACCTTCGTTTTCCAAGTGGCACTGTTTCAGCTTTCAGATGTGACGCTCATACTGTCTGTATATAATAAGCGCAGCATGAAACGAAAAGAGATGATAGGGTGGATTTCCTTAGGTCTCAACAGCTCAGGAGAAGATGAACTCAATCACTGGACTGAAATGAAAGAATCTAAAGGACAGCAAGTATGTAGATGGCATACTTTACTAGAATCGTAATGGATGGTATGAAGTGCAGTCATGGTTTTAAGGGAGTTTGGTCTCTCAAGAAGATGATCATCCCCAGCCACAATCAACAGATTTGTTGTGGAAGTAAAAAATGAACATTGAGGTCAACATTCCATCGTAAAGAATGCACACCATGCAAAATGATGGGATTTAATATATAATCTTCACTTAGTGTCAGACACTTCCTTGGTGTCAGAGAAACCTTGCTGTACACAGATAAGTTAGCGGTCCCTCCCCCATCCACCTGATGCTGTATTTGTTTGGGTTTGTTTTGTGGTTTTCAATTCAGAAACATTTTATGTAAGGTTCTCCAAATTAATGTAAGCTCCTCCTTGTGTACTTTTTGTATTGCTCTAAAACTGTAGCTTCTGACCTGCCTGCATTCAGATTAAAGGTCAATAATTTGCACTTTGAGAAAAAGTTAATAATCTGTAGAGCAAAAGGGAAAAAAAAAAACCAAACTACACCGGTGGAGAACACTTAGTACTATAGCAAATATGAATATACTGTTGTTTTACACTGAGTTTCTTTCCAGGAGCTTAGTACAAGTAAGTTTTCATTGTTTGATATGCAATTGGTTTGAAAAATACTAGCATTTGGGCATCAGGTGAACTTTGACATCAAACTAATGTTTCTTCAATCTGTGACAGGAACGAGCTCTATATATGGCATAAATTGGGTTTTTCCCTCTTGCCTGTACTTCTGCCTAATCGAAAGAGACCAGATCATTAGTTTGGTCCCTTCCAAATCTCCTTAGACAGGTTGTACTGTAAAACTATGTAACTTTCTGTTGAAAGCACTTCCTGTATTCATGTATTCCAATGTAGGAAGCTCACAGAGCACGACTTTACTAAAATATATTTTCGTTAAACAAATTGATACGGATTTCTTTAAAATGTCAGCAGTTAGAAGTTAGGTTGAAAGACTATGAAGGAAGCGGCAGCAGTTGAACTATTCTGAATGAAGGTGAAATACTGTGGCTTTGGTTGAAATAAGTATTCGTTTGAGTCTCTTCTGAGCTGTTTTAGGGATTACCATATGCTGTTTGTGGGAAGCAGAGAGCAGACCAGGAGTTTTTACCTTTCTTCTTGGAGAAGAGAACATTAGTAAGTTATTTTTCTAGTGATTTGCCAGCAATTGAATGCATGTTCACACCCGAAATAGAAGTTTGCTTTGCTTATGTTCAGGTTGGGAAACAGAACTTTCTAATGACACAATTGAGAAGCCGCAGTATCACAAGAAAGTTTGCCATCAGATAAACACTCACAGCTTCTGCTGAAATTAGGGAAATATCAGTGCTTCAGAGATTCCTATTTGTCCCAAATACTTCAATTGGAATCGTACTGATTTACTGACTGATGAATCTAACTCATATTACTGAAATTGTGGATTCTTGAGTAAACATATTTTTAAAAAGCTTCCCAATTCAAATATTCTTTTTGCCTGTAATTATAAGTTTCATTTACTTTTAATTGTTGCTGTATGGAAAGCAAGCAATTTTTTTTCTTATAAATGATGGTGATGTCTTACTAATATGGGACCTCACTGACTGTTGTAGCGCTTGGTGGGTAGAAGAGTGAAGTTTTTGATTTCGTTGAGAGAATTAGTGGCAGCCTAGAGCGTTCTCATTAGGACAAATGCTTTTCTCTTGGATTTCTTTGTAATACCTTTGAACAATCCTGGCTTTAGGGTATACAGACAGTCAAATACAGTGAGATTGGAGACAGTGAGTATGCTATAATAAAGATATTTCACATGGTTCTCAAATTCTCACACTACTTAACAATGTCATTAAGTCCTTTTTAAAGGATACTGTAATTCCACTTCTTGGTTTATTTGGTGCCTTTTGAGGGGTTTATTTGCAGAGCCAGGCTTTCACTTTTTATTGATTTAAAGATATAAAACATTATTACAGGCTTTCTTCATTTACAGAAGCTTTATTTATTAAGTACAAATAATGCAAAAACTTTCTCTGAACAGGAATGGTCTTGCAGTAATACAATGCAAGTTGCCTCTTTCAGTCCTCGTTGTTGCTTAGTTTGTGAAATGTAATGTTGAGCGTAGAATTTAATAAAAAATCAACATTAATTTTATATGCATAAGGAAAATGCTCAGATTTTCCCAATCCTTTCAGCTTTCCATATAATAGAAACACTACCTTAGAAGCTGTTTAAAAGCAATTTTTCAATGGATGTGAAAGTGTTTTTACGCATTCTGTTTGTGGATATTTGGATGCTCTTTTCTAAAGCTGAAAGTTGTCTCTTGATGGTTGTCTCTTTGTACAGGTGTTGCTTTCTAAAATAATGTACAGTATTTAACAGGAAGAACTGAGCAAATCAGTTCCAGTGGAGAATATACTTAACATCACCATTGAACAAATGAAGAAGTCAGTTTGGAAGGTGCAGCAAATAACCTCTTACAGAACCAAACTAAACTAAACTGTGTCATGACTTGGGTTTCTGTTTGTGGGTTGCATTGCTTCAGTTTTATATCTAACCATTTAGATTTCTAAGACACTGAAATCTTAATTTAGACACAGCAGAGATTTATAGTAGTCTGTCTTGGGCACATTTGGGAAGAGGAATCTCTTTCTAGATCATGTGACTTTTCCCAAGGTATCCATGTCCAGTCTGTGCTTCACAAAAGGAGGTTTGGCTTACTTGGATTTATACTGTACAGAGGTTGGGAACTGAATGTATAAAGAATGGAAATGAACGTTCAATTTTGAGGCAGTAGAATATGGATTTGCCATGCAAAGCCAGTCACAACAATAACGGGATTCGCCCTGGGATTTTTATGAGTTAGTTATAGTATTGATAGCTGACGTGTTGTTTTTTCTTCCTAGATCCCGTTCTTATGATTTGTTTGTAATTTTGGTTTTCTTATTGCTTTATGCAAACCTATACTTTTGTATTTGAAATCTGCCTTTAGATGTTGTTTTTTTTAAACCCTACGTAAGGGCTTATACATACAGCGTGTTTTTGCGCATTCAGTTAGGTCTTAAGCATGCAACAGAATTTCTAAAGAACAAAGTATCGAAAACAAATTAGAGGCATTTGTGTTTTCCTCAGAGTTGTCTGTGCTTTTTTTACATAGCTTTTTGTTGTTTACCTTTGTTCAAAAAGTATAGTAAGTACTTGGAAGACTTTATCAAATTAATTACTTTTCTGTGTGCCAGTATACTATGTAGAGATTACAGCTCTTGAATGGAATCTGTTTCCTGTCAGTGTAGCCTTAAATAATTATAGAACAGTGACGTTCTTACAGATTCTATTCTTGAAAATATTGCATCCTTTCTGCATATGATCTATTCCGTTTAATGTTTAGAACATTTCACATAGGTCTTCTTAAAGTATTATAAATAGGAAAGAGTTGGTTAGTTCCTTTCTGTAGTAAGGGCAAGATTGTGCAGGGCAGTACAGGCAAGCATGAAATCACTGTGCAGAAGGATGAGAGGCTGTACAGCGTCTGCAGGACATCGCTGTCTCCCACACAGGTGGAGGCAAGGAGTCGGCAGAGCCATGCTTCTGTTCCCTGTTCAGCCAGGCGGCACAGGGAAGGAGGATAGTACTGGTAAGATTCAAAGCTTGGTCCCCATGGTCCTGCCTCACGCTCAGGACTTAAGACATCCACGTTGTAACCACACTGCGAGGTCTGACTGCAAAGGCAGAAGTTAGGCAAGGTGTAAGTTCTGCTACTGGAGAAACATGATGTAATTTCTAAATCCAATTAAAATCCTCTAACCTCATTAATAATTAGATTTTGAAATATGGTGAGCCCTTGAAATGAATGTATGTGTTCTTACTGGAGCTGAACATTGTTTATCAATTAAGAGAATACTTCAGCTGAAAACAGATTTTATGGCATTTACTGTAGGAGATATTTTCACCTGTAAATTTCTGCAACCATTCCTGATGGCAGATGCAGTGCCAGCATCAGTACCTTCCTATTTTTCACACCTTTGGAGAAATCTTTTTTGTTGTCTAAAATTTGTGTTTGTGTTACTGATGTATTCTCTTTTCTGCCTAATGACTTGGTCCTGCAAGCTCACCAGCACCCTGAGACGCTGTCTGTGGCAGTCACTGGACCTTAGAAGTCAAGGGCACTCTGCACCTCTTACAATACGGTACTGGTGCAAAATTTCTGTGACCAGCTCAACTTAATATAGTGAACGAGAAGAAGAAAACTTTTTTTCTTTGAAGGAGACGTTTTAATGTAGGAATTGAATACAGATCACTCTTACACGTACAAGTTCTAACAAAAAATCTGCGGTAAAATCAGAGAATGAGGTTTGAGGGGAAGCCTTTTGGCCTGAGCTGTTCCAACTTGAAACTAATAGCAGAATGCCCTTTCATTTAACTGAGAGTTGTATTGAACCCTTTACTTATTCATCACACTTCTCTGGAGGAAAAAAAGCTGTCCTGTTTAAAGCAGTCTTTAAAATTACGGCTTGTCACTTGCAAGGCAGACTGACTTCCTCCTGAAGCTGAATTCTCAGTAACAGCTAAACATTCATTTAATTCTCCCACTGATGTGCATGCCTACTTGCCACTAATGTGAATGAGAGGAGCCCATGGGCATCCACAGGAGAGCAGACCTGACCCTGGAAGCGTGAAGTGCAACAGGATCAGTAGGTTAGAGCGGTGATACAGTATGGCACCCGCAACACAATCAAATGTGATTTCAGTTGTGAATGGAAGTAAAAAAGCAAATACCCGGATACTGTCACGAACTTGTTATTTAATCATTTTCTCTTGTTTTTGTTTCTTCTGTTCCTCAGCTTCTGAAATATTTTTAAAATTTTAATATTAAAAATGTTACAGCAATCCCCAAACATCTTGATCATTTTAACTGGAACATTCAGCAAAGTTTATTGTTAGAACAGGCCAGCGGGAATGTTCTATATTTTGGTCTATTTAACTCAACTGCCGGATTTTGTAGTGCATCACAGCTGGATTTCAGACTACTTTGTTCTGATGGTAGTTTTTGATGGGAACGTCACAGGAGCATTTGCTTGCCGGTGAATCAACGCCTGATGAAGAGATGTCATCTGAGAGCGAGAGCATTACAGTAAGAGACGGCTTCATACAGTGGCAGCGACAGTGACTCAAATTCCAGTCTTGGAGCCTTGTGGCCCTCCAAAGGCCCTACTCAGAGGAACCGTGTCATGTGAACTGTGGGAGTTTATACGTTCAAAGCGGCAGAGGCCTGTGTGGGCACTCCATGGCGTCTAACCTAGTGTATTTTTCAGATGTAAGCAGGGTAGATGGTGTTTATTTGCCTAGGGTACCAACTGGCCTACAGTGACATGGATTAGTTTAGCCTTAAAAACTTATCACTGCCCCTCCTTAAGTTCAAGCAGGGTTTCTTCCTTTCTGCAGGCTATGCAGAAATCTTATGCACCCAGTGTATCTGCTTGTATTATGCCTACCTGAATACGGCACAATTACATTAA